TATGGAGAATTTGATACAGTAGGAATTGTTACTTCTATTGGAAATGAACCTTATGTAAGTAATTAATATAAATGTATGATATGCAATAATAATATTAAGGAATTTTAATGATTATTTTTTTTATTTAAAAGGGTATGAAAAATTTTCAAGCTGTATATTTGGCATATCCGCATATGGATTCTCAATCTTCATATTTATCAATATTGTTTTGGCATGGAATATTTTTTTATGGATATACAGAAATATTGACTGTAGGATCTTTTGTTGCCTGTAGTAATTTAGAATGGCGTCGCGCTACGACATGGGATGTACCAATAGCATATTGTACAGAACGAAGTATTTTCACGCGCAATCCTCGACACAATTATCTTCAAAAACCTTTTGAAAATTTAAAACACTTAATAAAGGTAAAGATTTAAAAAAGATTATATTAGAAATTCTTAATATAATAAATTTGTAATTTTAAATAACTAAATTACAATTTATGCTAATATAATAATATAATAATTATATTTTTAAAGGATGTCAATATGTATATAGATACCTGTGCAAAAGAAATTTCAGAGAAGATACGAAAGAAACCAGTGACAAGAATTTCAGATAAATTTATGGATGTAAATAATCTTGAAAAAATTGCACCAAGAGAAAATTTTAACAAACAATTTAATGATCATGCTTGTCAAGAATTTCTAAAAGGAAATTTATTGAACGATCAACCAGCAAAATCTATCGCTATACAAAAAAAACTTGAAAAATTACAACATTATGGTGAACCATGTAGTCTATCTCCTATTACACTTAATAATAGTTCTAAACGAGTATCATTAGAATTCAAATCTCCTATGCGATCTAGAAATGAAAATTCTACAAAAGCTCATATGTCATTAAATGCTAAATTTGAGCAAAATTCTAGGTGATATTATATTTTAAATTGTATTATATTTAAATATATATTAATTATGTACAGTATATTTTAAAATAAATTGTTAAAATTTTTAAAGATATATACTCTATATTTCAAGAACAATGTAATGATTCATTATTTTTATTTTATCTTTCATAATAAGATGAAAATAATAAAATTACGAAAAATAAATCCTGTATATTGTATTTATTGTTAATATAAGTAATTGTATTATTAATTTTAAAATTATTGTTATTTACATTAGAAATGTTTATAAATACATATGAATATTATTTTTTAAATTTGCATTTAAAAGTTGTATAAAATAATATTATATAAATTTTATATATTATAAAATTTATAATTATTAAATATTTATATTTAAATCATTTAAAAAATATATGCAATTTAATTATTTCATATTGATATTTATTTAAATTTAAACATCTTAATCATCACATAATCTATTTCTTGTTTTTGTGTTAAATGAAGCTTTTGAAATAGCTCTTTATTTTCAACCAGAAACAGTTTCACCAACTATGCTTTTCCAAGCTTTTCACTAACTACGCTTTCCGTTTTTGGTGAAATCGAAAACATAAAATAAATAATTATTACAAATCTTAAAAAGCAATATTATTATTATTATTTTACTTTAAATATAATGTTTTATATTTTTATTTTTGAAATTAAATTTGTAGAGAAATTTATAATTTCAGTTACTATAATGATGAATACATAATTAGAACTAGCATTTATGAGATTGAATAAAGTATAAATTGTGGGACATATAAATTTTAATCGATCAGATATTATCTGATGGTAAAGTCTTAGTTTTTGAATTAATCAAGGAAATTAATAAATCATTTATAATATGACAGCGGTAGAATGATTTAAATTCTAAGGTTTGAACTAAAAACCTTGTTTTAAGAAAATAATCAATAAAATTACTGTGATCTGTGTAAGTTCTGTGTTATAAGTACGGCGAAAGAATTGTTAGATAAATGATTAAAAATAAGTTTAAAAATTAGTTGATTAAAGATACTTTTTAAGAAGCATGAAATGCATAAAAGGAAACTTAAACGTAACACGTATGTCTTATAATAATATCTTATTCATTTAATTTAAATGTTCAGATTTAAGTACAATTTGTAAGCCATTTTTGTTTTTCAATTCGTATTTTTAAATATAAAAAACTATAAATATTAAGTGTGTTTAAAAAGAAATTTATACTTAATTAGATTAACACAAAATGTAAAATCTGAAAACTTATCAAGAGTGAAAGATTATCAAAACAATCAAAATGAATCAAGTGATAATTTTCAACTACCAAGTTTACAAAAGAAGAAAACTTGGAAAGATGATGATGACAATTTATCAACTGGTTGGAATAGTAATGCAACAGATATATTTTGTTCATCAGAAATTGAAAATATTGCAACAAGAAAAGTTATGCAGCAGTGGGAGACTATTGAAAGTACACTATATGAAGATGGTGAACAAGTAACCCAAACAGCTGTTTTGGAAGAATGTACACAATGGAAAACGCAAATACCTCATTTAAGAATAATAGGAAAAAATCCATTTTTTTCTAAAAGTAATTATCAAGATTTGAACATAAATCATAATCGAATAAAAAATAATTCTCATAATGAAGATAATTCATATTTAGAACATAATATTTCAATAAAGGTAAAGATATATCATATATTTTTAATATAAATTAATAGAATTAAAAATAATGGTAATTATTACAAATCTTTCTATTTTTATAAGATAATTTTAATTTTATATTTTCATATGGCCACATTATATAATCTGTTTGTAGGAAAGAAAAAATTCATCCAAACATAAATTACAGAAAACTGCACAAGATGAAATACTTGATATGCTTTATGCATATGTAATATCAGAGTTGTTTCCTAAAAAAGAAAATGAAATTGATTCATTACATGATGATTTTAATGATGCATTACAAATACGTATGGCATCTATTCACAGCAATAAAAGTTCTGCAAAAAGTTCAAAGATAAATTGGTTTGAAGAAACAATTCCTCTTGAAAATAAATTTTCAAATAATAGTAGTAAATCTGTAGAAGATCATATTTTATCTATGAAAAAAGATATTACTCAAACAAATATGCAAGAAATTCAAAAGTATGTATAAAATATATTACAATAAAATAGGAATTTTTTATAATATAGAAATAAAAAATATTTATAATTTATTATTTATAGAAAATATGATAATTTTATGAATAATGATAGAATAAGGAATGAAAAGGATGAATTCATCATGGATGACAAGTTTTCTAGGCCACACACTAGTAGAAATAAACTTGGAACAGTTTTCAATGAAAAGATTGTAGTTAGTCCTGTGCCTTATGTTTTATCAACTAGAGAAAGCTTTTCTACTGTAAAAACTACTCCAATTAAGTTCATGGCACAATCTCTAGAAGTTTCTACTTTTCAAAGTATATGATTTTTTTTTGTAATATTGTTACATATAATTTAATTTTACATATAAAATATTAAAAATATTTTTAATGTTATTAATAAATGTTTTATATTTTATATTTTTTTAGGTTCAAACAAAAATATCAATTATTTTAAAAATTCCGAAAAAAATTCAGCAAAAATTTCGAATTATCAATCTTCTTGGCATACTCCTGTTTCTCCTGCTGTATGGGTAAAAAATGTAAAGCTTGCTCCTCTAGATATGTCACGACTACCGAATAATAAAAATAGGTATTTAGAAAATATTAAGAATATTTTTAGCTATAACGAACACTTTTTTATATTGTTTTTACTTTTACTTTTTTTAATTTTAGATCTTTAACATCATCAGTAGTATTATCCCGTAATAAAAAACCTTTAAGTCCTATTTCTCGATCTTCTTTTCCCGTTTCTGCACAAACAATTCATAATAATCATGAAAGTTTAGAAATTCAAGGGAAACAGATAACTCCTAGACAATCTTCTAAATTAAAAATGTCAACTACAGGTTTGGAGAATACCTCTAAAAATAGTACAAAAAAAAAGAAGAGAAGTCAAACAAAAACAAAGTTATAATGAATTACAACTAATTTTGATGGTTAGAAAAAAAATCGATTTTATAAATTCTGTAAGATTATTTTTATCTTTGTAAATTTAAATTGTATTTCATTGTTTTACATAAATAATGACTGGGTAAAGCGTGGACCATGTAATTGAAAAAAGAAATTATATTTCTTTCTTATATTTAAATTAATTTCCTTTTATATATTTAAAATGAAAATTCATTATTGTTTGTGATATAATAATGATGTATGATAAAAATTCAATTATTTATTTTTTATTTACTAAAACCAATGATTTGAAAGTTAAGATAACATTTATAATTCAAATGATATATAAAGTACATTTTATATGATATATAAATACATCGTTATTGTTAAATAATAATAAGATATGTCATTATATTACAGTATTAAAATATACTTTAATTTTAAGAAATGTTTTGCACTATAACGAAAAAAATATTTAAACGCTATGTTAAAAATAATAAGATCTAGTCTTCTAATTATAAAAATGTATATTTTAAATATTCTTGTTGTTTCAGAAGCGAATTTATTGTTGTAACTATGTCTACCTCACTTAATGTCTATTTGTTGTTTAATGCACACGCTTACGTGCGCAAGTGAATATATTTTTGTAACGCACACATCTGTATTGGTCGTGCTTATTGTAAATATATAATAATTCATAACATTGAATGTACTTTTACTCATATTTTATATATGATATTATAAAATTTAAATTTAACAATATATTATATTTAATTTTATCATTTATCATTTTTTAGTAACGATATATATTTTTAAGTAACGATATATCATTTTTAAAAATATTATTGAAACTTGATTATAATATTTTTTTCTTTTTTTGAGTATGGATATAATATTTTAATATAAAATCCAGTAAAAAAGTATATTTTTATTGTATCAATATTATAAATATTAATATTAAAAATTATAAAATGAAAATACGCGACAAGAAAATTTGTATATTAAGATTACATTGCGCGTGCGCGAATTTCAGCGCGGGGATAAGCTTTCACCGGTAGAATTTATTCCTTTAGTTGCGCGTGATCTTCGAAAGTGCGCGGACGTAGTATAGTGTATTGGAATTAATATTTATATTATTGAAACGTAACCGCGTTATTTATTACGCTTTAAACATTTTTATAACTATTTTTATTTACTTGCGAGTGTTTTTACGTTAAATAACAAATATATTTATTATTTACCACATGGTGACGCAAATGAAGGATTTTAACGTATCATCAGAATCTAGCGGCATGTTCACATACGTTAGAAATACCGGCACTCATCTATCAACGTTAACAAGAATCTTGGGCGTGTGTACTGCAGTTGGTAAGTTAATAATTATTTTTATTGGTCTTATCATTTATTTTTTTCACATTTTATATATCTATTTTATATATATAATTAATAAATAGATATAATATAAATAGATATTATTATATATCTATTTATTAGTTTTGCATATTTTAATGTAAAAAATAACGTATGCGTAATACAAATAGAATACAATATATATTCAATATATTTCAATATATACAGTATATTTTTATTACATTACATTTAATATAAATTTGCATTGATTTTGTTAGTTTTTTTTCCAATATTATAACAATAAATAGGAAAAGAAATTTTAAATTCAAATTATTAAAAACTTAATTTAGTTTCTATTATTTTATGACGATTCTGGTATACACAAAATTATATGTTATATATTAATGATTTAAATTTTAACCATGTTTAAATTTTTTTTAGAATTAATTTTATTATTTATATTCATTTAAGATATTTAAGATATTTCTGTTAAAATATTCGTTATATCACGTTAATTTATGTATAATAACAATTCTGCACATAAATCATAAATGCATTATAAATGCATCATAAATTTGTCACATAAAATAAAGAAAACAAAGAATTGTTTGCAAATACACGTTAGATAGACGTTATACATGAATTATATTTTAGCCACATATATATGTATAGATTTTTAAATTTGATTTTTATGGGGATTAAACCGTGAACAAATAAATTTTAATTTCATATTTTTTTTCTTATTCTTTATAAAACTTAAAGATTTTCGTAATATAGTATACATTTTTATAATTTCTATTTCTTCGTTAATTATAAAAATATGAAACATTATTTCAGGATAGAAATGTTTTTTTATTTTAATTTGAAATACATCTAAATATTAAAACAGTTGTAAACAATGAAGATTTTAAATAAAAAGCAAAATAAAACATATAAATACGTAATATAACAAGTTTGCAGTTTTGTTAACTCTACTTTATTCGAAATTTTATGAAAAAAGGAAATTAACTGTAAGCTAAATATTTTCATCGTTTCAAAAATTAAAATATTACGATTTATTTAAGTAATAATTAAATGATTAAATAAAACTACAATAATATAACGACATTATACAAATAAATTACTCATTTTCACAACTTTCTTCAAAATAGAAATATATCAATTCCGTAATTGATTTATTAATATTATATATGTATTTCTTTTTAACTATTCCTAACCTAAGTACTTCATTCATAATCATCTTGAATATTACTCTAATTATTTTACTCAATATAAAAATAATTTTGTTCTTCATTTTTCACGAAAAACAGAAAATTAATAAAAATAGGCTTATCAAGTTTTTTTCTTATATCATTAAAAAAATTGATAAATAATTTCAATTCTGGTCTAGTTTTCAATCTTGTAGCAAAGTAAAAAGAACGACAGCAATGCCACCTAGATAGAAACATTTAATCGTTCAGTCTACTGACTTAGTTCTCGAAGTAATTCTCGACTATTAATATTTAGTGCGTCTAAAGAAGTTGGCGCGATAGAGGTCGCGTATGTCTCTTCTTGTAAAGGAAAAAAAGAAAAGAATTTCGAGAGCGTCGCTTTTTCCATCGTTTTTTACGAAATGTGTAACGGAATTTCGTTCTTTCTTGATGTTTACATCATCGTGTTTACGGAACTTTAAGGCAATCGAGTTTTTCCGAGCATTTTCACCGGATCTGCGTATCATTTTCACTGGAGCGTGTGTCGATCGAGGAGAGTAGAAGAGAAAAATCACGTGGATTAACGTGACGTATTTTTCTCTCACGGTTTTCGCGTTCTCGCAGCGTAAAAATATATTTTTCCCTCGCGCGTTGTGTATTCTCGATGAAACGATCGAATGAGAAAATGGAACTGGTTGCAAAATCGTTCTTTTTGTTCACGTTGATCTCACGTTATATGATACTATAGTTATAGTGAATTTTTTATTGCGCCTTTTGTTGGTTTCTGACACACCGAAAGTAAGTAAATAAATTATTGTTAATGATACAATGAAAAAACGCAATGAGAATAAAATTTAATTTAAAATTTATTAATTTTAAATCTAATTTTTTGTCTCGAATAAATCTTGTTTTATCATTGTTTGCTTATTCAATTTTGTAGAGAAAATTTCATTTTTCTCTATATTTGCATCGAAATATCTCGTCTCGATATGTGATTATATTTATCCTTTTTTTTGTTTTTTCTTTTTTTTTTTCTTACATATTTCAATTTATCCACATAGATTTCATTGAAAATGAATTTATATGTAGTCAAATTTACAAAAGATACAATATATTTTATTCCAGCATAGATTTTATTTTCAACGGACAGATAATTTTAAAATTTGCCGAACTAGTATTTGCTTAAGCTCAGTTCCAACGTATTTTTCCATAAAATTTTTCTTTTCCTTTGTTCATGGAAAATTCAATTTTATGTTTGTATTTTATTCCGTACGAAAAATCATTGGTTATACTGCTTGTCCAATTGTATCACAAACTGCATATATCTCTATATATTTCGAAACCACGAAAAAAAATAAAAATTAAATCCAAAGAAGAAACTATATCTGCCATTTTAAACAATTTTAGAGATTCTTTTTTTTTGTGTAAATAAAGTAAAAGAAAAATTCTTTTTCATTAATTATTTATAATAGAAATTTATATATATATATATATATATATATATATATATATATATAT